TGAACCCATTTTGTTACTTCGCGGATGCTTACGGCATCATTTTACACAACACGAAGTGAGTGGACTTTTGTTTGATAAAAATACCTGCAACTGCTGACGAAAAGGATCAGGTTGCAGGTCAATCACGTATGGGGGAAGTTTTACGCTAAGTCTTACGCTTCCAGTCAGTGATTCAGTAACTATAGTTACCACACCAAGGCTTGTAGTGTAACACTTAAATGCATCTGTGCTGCTTTCCTAACAGTGATTCACCTAATAAATTTGAGGTGACACCACACTTTATTTCTCAACATTAATGAAAATATCGAGAAAGTGGCTGATGTGCGGGTGCAGATGATGGGTCATATACATGAACCATTTTTATAAGTTACAAATAGTTTTATCACTAATAAAAAAAAATTTACCACCCTCTTATTGTCGAAACACCCGCTCCTTAAAATGCAAAGCTGAGGAACATATTGTTTACATGGCATTATTATCGCCGTTCGAAGCTTTAGAAATCCATAAAGTAAATAATATAACGTCGACTTTTAACATTTAAGTAATATACAAAATTTACTGGTTTATCTTGTAATTGTAAGATTGTATCAATTTATTGCTATACCTCGCCAATCGTCCTTGTTTTTTATTTTTTATTTTTACCTTGATCAAGATATGTGTATGATTTTTAATTACCATGAAACTATGGTGAATCAGATCGGGCTGGAATCATGAACAGCGTGATATTGTGTACTTTGTGGCAAGACGTGTGAGACTGTATGTTGTTTTGCCTCTGTCTTGTAGTAAGTAAGCACTCGTCGTTATCTACATCTGCGAAACATAAATTTTCAATTAGGTTCGAATTTGTCGCTGATGTTTATTGAACAACGTTATCTCAAAATTTGAGCCAAACATTTCTAAATTCGAAGATGCCAAAAGCGATATTTACTTTCAAAGGTGTCGTTGTTTCTTATAACATCCCGCATTTTGTCTAGCTTAAAATATATTCATATATACAACGCCGCGGTCACTCTGAACAAAGCCATATAAAAAAATCTTTCGTTTTGAGAAGCTGCTAATTTATTACATAAAACTGCCTGCACTTGAAAATGAAATAAAACTGAAACTAAAATAGTGAAAAATGTTCAACAAATTCTGTATAGTTTACGGGATTTGTTAAAACTCAATTATTCAAATTTTTAAGGGGGGTGCTTCTCAAATAATTTTGTCACTCCAAGCTACTGGGTTTACGAAATTCATAAAAAAAATGGGTATATCGTGTATGAAATATATTTCGTAAATAACAATTTGATTGTTAATAGATTATAATCCATTGCATTTAAAATAATATTAAATTGCTTTTCGAAAATTACTATTTAGAATCTGAGTTTTTATTTTTTTTTATTATTATTCATTATTAATTCCTGATAAAAACACTTTCTTTAACGTCATTTGTCAAGAGAACCCGTCTTAACTGACGCTTCATCAAATCCTATGTATGCTTTGACACTTGAATAGAGAGGTTTCGAGGGTCATTCTGATACCAAAATTTCTTTATTGTAACTCTACGTGAAACACTTAAGCTTTAAAAGGAATGTTACCAAGCAAACTTGTGAATGTTTGTTTTCTTTATTAATCCTGTCGTCTGTTTAATGCGGATACTTTCCAATTTCTCTTTATGGCAAATATTGTCAGAAAGTGAAAGAGTGTCTAAGATTGATATACAGAAAAATGGTGACTATGATCGGGCTTTTCAAAACACTTTCAAATCTGAGAGGGATCAGGTTAGAAAAAGAGAAACGAAAATAAGATGAAGGTTGTCTTTAGGTGAAAAGATGTGCTGACTATGAAAATTTCTGTTTATGATATGAACAGGTGAATTACACTCAGTAGAAGACGTTTTGATACGAAGGTGAAAAGACCTCGGCATATTATTGCTATTTCAATTTGTGCGTACCTTGTAGACATATTTCAAATATGGTGGTGTATGATGAAAAAAGACTTTTTACATATGAATCTTTCATTTGCAAATTTGCGAACAATTTGCGCCATACTGTCATAGTCACAGATTTTACCCTAATGACCTTATGAACTTTTGTGGTCAGGCTTTGTTTGTTGCAGAAACCAATCGGTACTTTCGTCAACGATGGTGTTATGACGTACATAGCAGACCACATCTACCACCTTTACCCAAAAATTTATCTGATCAGATTATCTGCATAAACTGTTGTATTATGGCGCACGGTACAAAAATGATTCGTTGAATTTCTGATATTCTCTGTTGTGGTTGGGTAGTTGAATGCATCAGTTGTGTAGTTATTCTTATCTGCAGGTGAACATTGTTCCATCGTAGCGTTGATGTTTTTATTAGCTTCCTTGCAGAAACCGAATGAGAAACACAGGAAAATTATGTTACTGTTTTATAAATGACGCTTATATAAAAGTTTTCTCTGGATCATAGGAAACTATGGCAGGCTTCATATATTCAAAAAAGACGTTTATTGTGAAATAGTTTTGGTCTTGGAATTTTATCCTTTTTGGCAGCATTTATGTGTTTTTTGTTTCGGTTAAAGTTTTTTCCGTTTTTTAACCCCATATCAAATTCATCTCATAACAATTGCTGGGAAGTAATTGAACGACCAAAAAATGTGGCGAGGTCATCGGTTATACCCGTTCTGCTATTTTTAAGACCACACGCTGTTTTCAACTTTTGTTATCAGCTTAATGTATTGGATCTGCCTGATTTATGGTAGTAGTGTAATATATATGTAGCTCACCCTTCAGCATATCTGTGACCGTTTTTGTCCACAGTTTTATTGGTAAAACTCTTCGACAAATAAGTGAATATAAAATTTAATGAGTCCAAGAGAAGGTTGTCAGCATCTGATCAAAACACTATAACATTCTTTTTCTATGAATTTCATTTTTTTTTAATTTGAAAACTGTCAATATTTGTTACGACTGTGCTTCAATGCAATAACTCAAAATACATGAAGTTTTATCGAGAATTGGTTTTACAACAATTTCTTTTTTTGATGTTGTTAACCATGTATAGTTTACAACTAAGCAATGTAAAATCATTAAATCACAATCAAAGTTGGTGAAAGGTGAAAGAAGACATCCGGAATAAAAAAATTTATATTTAAAGATATTCAAACAGTATTTAAGTATGTAAAAATCCCATAAAACATTTTTATAGTGCTAGTCTTGTTTGGCGATAAGTGATTTAATGTCAGAACAAAGTGCAAAATCATATATGGCAGGACAAATATTTTATTGCTGTAAATAACTAAGAAAGCTAATATTTTTTATTTTTCTATTGTCCAACCTGCTCAGTTTGATTAACCTCAATACTCATTCTCAGCCAAGTATGTCTACTAGACTCTAGAGTTTGAAATACGGTTATGCTACGAATATGAGTTATTTATGTTTAGCTCGGTCAGCATTAACATAAGAGTCAAATTACTAAAATTACCATGCTAACAATCTATAACTTGACAAAAACACCTCTTTAAATGCATACTTAAGGTGTGTGTTATTTACCTGGCATCGAAGTATCATAAACCAGCAATTCTATATTTATGTGCCATAAATTCTAATCTATCGATGAAAGAAATGTGTTTGCTGGCAATAAAACATTCCTTGGAACAAGTTATGGTCTGATGAAAATTGTCAATATTTTGATTCTATTTCTTGGAATAATTTGTGCATCATGTTAAATTTTGATTGTAATATGAATTTGACGATCAAATAAATAAAAGACTTTAAGTACACGGATTTAGTCAATAAGTCGAGTTAAAACTTCTTAACAGATTATCGGAAAACAGTACAAGAATCTGATTATGTTTCATATCTGCCTTGCGTGACAACTTTTGACTTTTACCCTTAAGTTGACTTTTGCGTTTTTTGGTTTTGTCAAAAATTATGCAAGATATGGATAAAAGATTACGAAAAAAACGTTTTAACACTATGCAAATGTATATCTGAAAAAGATTGATTTGAAGGTGCATTTTTATGTCTTTCCCATACATTTTTATGCGTAATTTTATCATATACAGTTTCATTTGTGTTTTGATTTAATTAAATATTTACATAATGTATAATTTAAAAAATTTTCGCACTTGGCGCTTAAAATATCTCGGTAGCTTTAGGCTACATAAATTACAATACCTATAATTATAAAGGTGAAGGTCGCCGATATATTTGACAACCGAAAAAAAAATAATTAGTTTCTGTACAAGTACATTTAAAGTAATGGTATATATTTTAGTGAGTAGTCAGTCTATGGCTGTAAGACGCCGGATGCTATACGAGTAACTAGCAATGTCTTGATATCTAGGTTTTGTTTCATGTTTTCATTTCTACAGTGTTAAAGGTTTGTCAAATAATGACAACTTTCATAAATGACTTTATTTCAAGTATACTGGTCGTATGGATGAGGCAGATAAACGTTAGATTCGCATTTCTGATACATGGATAGATACATGTTTATATTCTAAACTTATACATAATTTTAGATGTTGTTAGAAGAAAGTATAATGACTCGTTCAGTGGCATCATTGCTACTAATCATCTCTCTATAAACAAACCAAAGCAAACACTCAAAGGAAAGTACTAGCTTCATTTTTTCAAAACACATCTTTTACTTCTAATCCCAAAAAGTGAATTTCGCAGGTTTTATAGTGCAATAAAATTTCTGATTCGGTTTGTATAATGTACCAACAGTGTTGAACTTTTATCCTCTCTTTCAATTGGTCTAAATCTGATTTGTCCCATCCAACGCCCAACTAAGTTGCTGTTTATATTAAGACATTCCACAGAAACCAAGTCATGTGTATGTAAATTCAGTTGTTGGAGGATTGCATGATGTAAAGTAATCGCATTTACTTTAGACTATTGAAACAAAAAACGCGGATAATTTAACGCTGTAATTCAGCATATCTTGCTTTGTTTAATAGTATTGTATATTGTATAAATATATAATTGTCGAATGAAATAATACAAAATTTTCATTACATCTCTATTTCGATACAGAATATATTTTAAATAAAGTTTCTTTGGCGTGATTTGTGTATAGTATATTCACATATTTGAAACAATATTTCTACAAAATGAATGCGCCGGTTCTGCGTCGGCTGAAAAAATCATCAAGTACAGTTGGAAGTGTACCAACATTCCGGATAGTAGTGTTTGGACAATCCGGAGTCGGGAAAACTGGTGAGTTCCTTGAATTTTCACAAATTAGGGTTTTATCTTTTGTACAGATGATTCTATTGAAAAATCAGACATAGAAATGGGGATGTATATACGGAGCCCTGCAATTCGAATGGCGTCGACCATAGAAGGCTAGATGCATAACTATAGAAAGAAGGAAACTGATTATGAGTGTTACTGCTTGCTAAATCAAACTGATGTGTTTTCCGATATACTGAGAAACTGTGTTAATAACAAAACGTATTTTTCTGTAATAATTACTTATCAACAATTAAATACTTCACGGCAAGGAGTGAGTAAAGTCACACCACAAAAACTTACAAGCACCTACCACTTAAAGAGTCTGATTAAGAAAATTCATTTTCTAATTTCACATTAAAAACAACTTGTGATAACTTGAGTATATACTTATATTCTGCGCGGCTTAAATACTATTTGTAAGAGTTAGATTCGGCTCCCGAGTCAGCTAATTTATTTTAAATTTGTTTGTCAGTTATTGTGACATGTTCAAATACATATAGGATGATGGATAGACGTGATTGGCTCACCGCTTCCTATTTCTCTGTTTTTTTTTAAGCAACTTTCTAATTTTCTAAGCAACATAAATTACTTATTGATATGCTGCTTTATATAGATTGTTTGTGTATCAATAGTTGTCTTGTTAGGAAATTCTCCTTACCTGTCTCGGTGAGATTCCTTGCTATACTATGCATGATATTGTCCCTTCTCAATCCTCAACTATCATCAGATTAAAATCAATTTCTCTTTAAGTTAATAAGGCGATACCTGTCGACACAAATACATAATTTCAATTAAATTGTGATTACAACCCCCAGTGCGCCACAACTTGCATACTTTATGCTTAACAAATTCAATTACATCTGTCACCCAAACGATCTCCCTGTTTTATGTTATAATAAACGATTATGTTATATAAACGATTTTTATGTTATAATTCGGTATACCCGTGCAGTATACCGAATTATAACATAAAAATTCCTAAATGCAACTGACCTAATAGCATTTGGTGCATCTTTCATGAATGACAAAGGTATTTGATGAAATTGCCCAAAATAATTGTGAACTATCTTACAGAACACGTGTACTTTATTTCAATTAAATTCCAATGGAACGACACACCATGACTGTAACAATACACACCCCTGTCACAATAGTATAGTTTCTTGCTGAAATTAGTTATTCAATTAATCAAGTTGTGTACTTGGTGCTATAAAAGAGTTTTAGCAATTACATTGGGATTTGTGCTACCGAATACTTCAGATGAATTTACCTTTCAAGAAAAATCTGACCGGTAACGACAGAAAATTTGTTTGAAATCTGAGTACACAATTTTCCAAAGAGAGGTAGACATTAACATTTCGTGTTATGAAATGTTTTCCTACATTTTGAGTGTGTAATAAGCAATAAATACTAACGGTTCGTATGAATTGAGTTCCGCCTATTTGAATAGTTCTGCTACGATTCCTCTCAATCTGCTATGTTTCGGAAGAAATCTGACCCGTACTAATGTCAGGGCATCAGTCGCGCGGTCGTTTCGTGCGAGACTGGGTTTTCAAGTATGTGGGTACATAAACACTCGTGAGAGGGATTAGGAAGGTGAAAACATCAGTTTCCGCGAAACAAACTTCAAATTTAAAGAATCTCATGTGTCATATTAGCTATAAATCTAAAACTGCAAGGCTGAACCTAACTCCTCTACTTTAACACATTCTTTAATTCGAAATAATGCTCTAAATTAAATCTTCTTAATTAACCAACTTATTAATTTTTAAACAAGTCTAAACTGGTCGTTAAAATGTGATGGATCAAAGCTTTTTTTATGTATTTCTGGTAAACCTGAAATAGCATGAAATAGTTACTACAAAACTAGTTAATTACTGGAATGAATCTCTGCAAATGATATTTTAAACAGAAAAAAAAAAAAATACTAATCTTACCTTAATTTTTCATTATGTTTCTTTTTTATTTTAGCAATGAGTGTCCGGTTCGTCACAAAGAGATTCATTGGAGAATATGATCCTACTTTAGGTGAGTCTAACAATCATTTACTTTCGTCGATGGCCTAAGAAAAACATTGAAGAACACATTGGCCTCAAGGCAATATAATCGTGTATAGAAATATTTAGATACTAGATTTTGGACAATGTTCCAACAAATGTTATTCGTATATATTTAGTTAAATGACACAAAGATAAATATAAAGCACGAGTGTTACAATTTAATATTTGCAAAAGCAAGCAAAATTTTCACCCCAAAAATGTTTCCATAATCTCGTAATTGTTTCTAATTTTGAAACTCTGTCAGGCAGAAATAATCCGATGAAATGTACACAATTTTACTTTTCTGTTGAAAATGCTTCAAAATCCTTATGTTTTATCTATAACGTACGCGTTAATCCCATTTCACGCTATTTTTCTCGTCCCTAGGGTTTGAAACAACACATTGTAAGATGTGACACTAAATATTTAAATTTGTAGGTGAGTAAAATTGCATGCAACCGGTTCAAACCAATACACAAACTTCGAAGTATTTATTAACATGGGATGAATACAAAATTTTTTGAAACATCAAAAATTTACATACCTCGTTTGACAAAAAATGGACAGACAAAAACAAACTATTGACTGTTTTCGTGTAATATCAAGAAGCTCAAAATTAACTATTCTGAAGAATTTACTATCCCTATTCGAGTTCATTACGCAGTATCAACTTTACTTAAATTGCGGTTTTTATATCAAAGTTTCCGAAAATGGCGGCTTTGCCCCATAAAGTGTCGAATTCCATACTCGAGTTCAGGGTGTCAACATGCACTTACGATCCCACACACGCTGAATGCTATGAAAGAAAGTTCCATATAAAACTAAAAAAAAATCTTCAAATCAACCGGAATCATGAAGATAATATTGAAAATTTGTGTGTGAAAAAGCCCCTATCAGTCGGTACTTAACTTAAACACAGTAAAACTTTGATAATTTGAGTTAATAGTTTGATAAATTACTTGATATTCATATAAACTTTCCGTGTGTTTTCCACTTAGGTCACGCGTTATTGTAAAACAAGTACTCATATATCGTGTTTTATTCCGAAGCAATGAAATTTCGAAATTAATTCAAAATAGAAACATTTTTGATATTATTTATGAAGAAATGTGTGCTGTTCGAATGTATACAAAATTTAATTGTTGTTTGCACAACGCTGCTTAGATTTATAGCAAACGAAATGGTTTGAAAATTATTAATTTATTTGACAGTTCATTTATTATAAACAATGTGATGAAATTTAAATTTGGATGTCACAGACAATTGTGTTCAACCAAGTTCTTTTAAGCACGTATAAACATATTTAATCTATTCAAGCGAACACTAAAAATATATATATATTAATGAGTCGTGGGTAATATCAAAAATAAAGTTTGTATAACGAATTAATCATATTAACTCGAGTGTCTATCACATCACTTATGATTATTGAGGCTTATGGAACTAAAGCAGGATCTCACAATACGTACCCTAGTCATCTGAGCTCATTAAAACCAGCATATCCGGAATACGAATAAATTAGATTAAATAATTTGGATTTCAGGAATAGAATCTAAAAAAAATAGAATTTAGATATACATGAAAATATCTTTATATGTACTGGAGTTTCGATTTAATGTGTGTTAATAGGGTGGATATTATTTATTTCAAGCAATTTTGAGGAAAAGGCACAACAAGCGCTTGATACAAACACTTTACTTATATCGCGGGATGTCCTATTTGCAACAAGTTAAGTTGAACAGTTTGTTTGTTATTGATATTTGAATTAAAGGGTGACATTTACTAAAAACGACAAAATGTTATTACCGTATATGGGAAAATCTAAGCCCAATGAAAATCAAACTGAACTATAGGATGCCGACGATTAATCAAACGATACTAAAGCAGAAATATCGGGTCAATGTGTGTTTGGCAAACTTTTACGTCAAAAGTCGGGTGTATTTATATCCATATATAACTTGCTTGAATTAAAAAATATATGACGTTACGCGGAATAAGGCTTACAATATTGCATTCGTTAATGATTCATTTTTCATATTAAAAGCACTTAATTATATTATGTTTACATTATATCTAATGAAACAAATATAATGACTGTCGGGCATGTTAGCAAAAAAAAATGTTGGGTATTATGAAGGACTTTTGAACTCCGTTGTAAGTAATTATATGAACCTAAGTATCAATTTATTAGATAATTTAGTTAGATAACATTACTTCTGTAGCAGATATAAAATAACACTAATTTTAAAGACATTTATTCAATCGTATCTACCTAAATTCTAAACAAATATACAGCACCTAGAACCCGATAAGCTACATATTAATTTTGTTAACTCGTTATCTTAGTTATTAGTTGTACAATAAATTAGCTTTAGATTTAAATGAAACTTCTAGAATCATTTTTGTAAAATCACAACACAAATTCTTTATAAAAATGCGGCAATCGTGAATGTTATTTTCCCATTCCTCAAACGGTAATCAAACTTAATTTATAAAAACGTGAAAGTAAATCCCTAATGGAATGTCAATGTTTTTATTTATAAAGGGTTATATTTTAGGAAATAAATTTTCAGTTTATCAATGAAAATATAGAATAATAATAAATCTTCCTTGCTTGTATGAAGCGAAATTTTAATGACAGAAGCTGTTGTCCTGCCATCTAAAACTGAATAAAATGAATTCCTATATCCTGTGTCAATGGAACGAGACTACCAAAATTGTTGGTTCAACTAATCTATTTTTTTGTTTTCGTTAGACCACAAAGTCGCTCAACGTTAATGCTAGTTTAACTATCCACCCCTGTCAAAAGAAACAAAAGTTTGTTTGCATTTCAAGATATTTCAGGATTGTAAGATTATTGGTAGATTGACGTCTCTAAAAATAATCAGATATAAATTCTAATTGAGTAAGATTCATATACAATCTCATTGCGGTTCATTTGATTCATTGTTTCCGTTTTGTAACTTTCTTTGCTCGTGATATAAATATAAATCTGTGATATATCTTTTACAAAAAAAATTTAAACGTTTGAATCATGCAAAAAACTGATAAACTGAATTTTGAGGGCAACAGATCACACAACGAGAAAGTAATTTCACTTAATCTCCTGATCAAAACAATGTTAAGTCCCGATTTTGATACCTATTGTAATGAAGTGACACGCGTCACAAATAAACAATAGAGGATGAGCCAGCATTAGAATCCAGGCGCCTCTCATCCAAGCACGATTGAGAACCTAGCTAATCTATGGATAACATTGCTTATCCTTGAATTAGACCACACATGTTACTATAAAAAAATTTGTGACAAGTTTTGTGTTTTTGTGATGTGTCTTGTCAACCTGGTACCGTATCATTTACACAAAGAGTGTATAGTTACAGATCATTTTGAGACGATAATATCTGCCTATATTGGCACAATGTTAAATAGTCATGTGTATTTATATAGAGTAAACCGTGTGACGTGTGCAGATTAGATGATCCCAATAGGATAACGTGCCCAACCAATTTTGCTAAGAAAATGCATATACCGCCAACGCATATACATATACAATACAACCAACCAAATGTACATATACAGCCAACTCAATATACAAAAACTTTATCTAGTTAAGGAGTTATATATACGAAGATGTCATTGCAGTATCGAAATAAAATAACTTAGACAATGTTTATATTTTTATGAGTTAATGAGGCCGAATATATGGTTGTATTCAAAATAATGCAACCTCAAATATATACTTAAATTGAAAATCAGGATATGTATTATTTTACGAAGTACCTATATCACGTCAGGAATGCTGATCATATTTAGGTTTATAGTTAATTTAAGATTTGAAAGGAGTTGAATGAACACTGTGTTAGTTTTGCACATCATTATGAAAAGAGAGATTTGGTAGCTTTATTATATATAAGTCACCAAATGCATAAATAGAAATAATTAAAATGTTTCCATAAAATGATTGAGGAAATTGACTCTTTCATTTTGTCGTAATTTTCGCATTCTCACATATTTATGCAGATATTGTACTACGTTTTATCCCGGTTTCACTTGAGTACTTTTATTTGTAATATGAGAGTAGAAAGTTATTCGAATTCCACACGCCTGACGTATCTAACTCAAATTGTTGGGTGCAAACATCCAATTATTAGAAGCATATTTTTTTTAAATTGCACTTTTACAAAACTCGAAAATTCACTACAGATCTACCATAATTTGAATGTAATAATTTGTTACGTATGTGAACCAAACATTGTTAAAACATGACATGTGATCGGATAATAAGCATATATTTCGACAGCTTTCAAAATTTTTATTTGAAATTGAATAACATAAAAATTTTAGTGAGTTTTACCCACGACGCCTGTATCAATTTTAGTTCAATTTCCACATCAAAACGGGCGATTGCTCAAATTTGCAACCTCGTGACAATTTCCAATGAGATAAACCTAGATAATCTTTAATCTAAGTCCGATTCGTTTTTCCCTTTGATTTTTGTCTCCATTAAAATAGTTTCAAGTCGGCCGTTATTGAAGATTTTGAATTGTGGTTCATAGGGTCATGTTATCTAACGTGGGAATGTTTTGTTATGTACACGCTATCAGCCTGGTTTGCTTGTACTCGAATGTTATAAGCATAAAATATTTCAAAACCAATGAACTCGAATGTTTTGTGTTGGATCCACCCGCCTACATTTTAAAATCCAAATAAAAAATATATATAAGTAACTCTAAATGACACTCCTCATTTTTTTTTAAATGCATACACTTTGGCTATCAAACTATTTAACAGATGTGAAGATAAAAATGATGTTTTAATACTATGGACACATTTTAATATTTCTATCGTGCAACTTACGTGTATACAAAACTAAGATTGCTTGTAACTTGGTATAACTAGAAGAAATCTCATCGTTGTCAATAAGTTAGAAGGGTCTAACGACTGATTAAATTATTGCTATTTTTCTATAACGTTGCATACAAGCTATTCAAAGTTTTAAAACACAGAATCAATATAACATTATGTGATCCATGGCTTTTCAGACATTTTTGAATGCTCAAATATAGGACATAGTCTTTTTGTATTTTGAGTATCGTCTCACGGCACATTGTGACGTCAAACTTTGAGTTTGTAATTAACGAAGTTTAATTATATTGTTTTGTTTAGAAAATATATATCAACATTACGTTGTTGTTGGCGGAACTCCCGTTCTATTTGAAATTATGGACACAGCTGGCCAGGTATGTAATTATTTTCAATTAATTCCTTGTTTTATTCATTTGTATGAGGCCATGGATAATTAACATTTCATTAATTGACATTTATGTTTACAACTGAGTATTTACACGTATTGTAAAAGACGGATTTGCAAACAAATTGTGTTTCATATCACTATCCACACAGTCATCCACATGCGGTTATGGTACAAGCAAAACAAGACGAATTTATAATAACTAGTTTAGTAGATTTTGATTTTATACTGACGACAATATTATTCAAAAAATTGTAATGTTTTGATGATATACATTACTAATGATTTTTAAAAACCTCCAACGCGAGCTGCTAACCAGTGATTTTTTCAAACAATACGTAAAAAAATTAGCGTGTGGTGGTGTCTTTTGTGAGGTCTTTCTATCATTCTCAGTAATTTACATGTTCATACATTATAATCTTTTTTCTTATATATAAAGGAAGAAAATGAGTTGATGATGGAGGAAAAAATTCGATGGGCAGATGCTTTTATTCTCGTGTATGCTATTAATGATCAGACAAGTTTCGAAGAACTTCCGAGGTTCAAAGTTACGATCACGCACACGATCGCGCAAATGAGTCACCAACACAAGGTGTGTACTTCAGATTACAACTTATCATTTTGACTACACTAACAGGGGTGCTACGTTTTATTAGTGTACTATATAGGACCCCTATTATCTATAATCTAAATATAGAACAGACATCTCTCCATATCCAATTTGAATACGTAGTGTACATATCGTTCTGCTCAATTCCTGTTGCTGTTATATTTGTGGTTGGGCTTCATCTTATTGTTACTCTTATTCTTGGAAAAATAATTTATTTTCTTTGCAACTAATTGAACAATCAATTACAAATTGAAAATGAAATCGCTTGAAGGCTAATACTTCAACTCATTTGTTTTTTGAATTTTCACTTGGTTCTATAAAATCGAATATTTATACAGAACTTTGGCCTTTTAAAATTGAATGAGAACACTCAAACGCTTCCGTATTATCCTCCAATCTTTTTATCAAACCCGATGTTCTCAGGCCTGTCATACTCGTACCGATGCGCGACCTCCGTGTATAAATATATTCAAGCATACTCTCTTATTTAAAATATTTTATTATTGGAAAATGCATTACAGCTGAGTCAGCAAACGTCAAAAGTTTTGTAGATTTAGACCATTCAACCAGCATATAAGTATAACCTCATGTTTGACCTTTCCAGCAAGTACAACCAGAACCAGTCATCACTATTGTTGGAAATAAAACAGACTTAGAGCCGGATCGAATGGTTGATAGATTACGTGGCGAAGGTCTTGCAAACAGTTTGAGAGGTGATTTCCGAGAAATATCTGGTAAGATTTAATTTATTGGACACGAAATGGACCTATGGATCGTTTTGTTATTATTTTGTCAGTGTGTTATTATATTGTCACCATGCTGATATTATTTCTTTTTCTTCTTTTACTTCTTTTTGTTGTAAAAAATCGCTTTTCTTATTAACTACTGGACCACTTGCTTTAAAATTTCCTGTGTTTAAAGATTGTATTGTTTCGCTAGAAGGGTATTACTTTTTTATTGTAAAATGTCTGTGGGCTCTATAGAATTTGTTTTTTTTTTGTGTGTGCAATTGCGTTATCAAAGAGTGTGCACCCTGTGGCGGTTACGTTAGCGTTAGTCGTGCAGTTTGTGGTACGTTCCCATATATTTGAGCATCGCTCTCTTGTAATTATATCCGAAGCAAGAAGTTCATGGGAAAATGATGATGTATATAGTACAAATAATAACTTGGCTTCATGTAAAAGTTTTTAAAAAACTCGCAATTCAGCGAACCCTAAGTTGTTGAGAAAGAATTTCTAAAATTATAATCTGATTGCTCTTTTCCCAAGTTGATGTTTTTACAACATATTCATAGTTGAAGTAAAAATGAATTTATATTGCGGATTTTTAGGAGAATTGTTATGGAATTTGTGGCGTGTAAAATCGTCATTCAATTTTCGGTCAGATAATTGGAATCTCATTTTCACACCTGAGTATGATAATTAATACTTCATTAATTGCATACCTGGCATCTAAATTCTCCGTCCACGCTTTTAATTTGTTCATTGAAATTTCATGATGAGTCACAATTATCATTCATCAAAATCTGGTAGCTAAATTGGGAAATAAATTACGGGTTTCTACCCTTTATTTTAATACGGTATGTCAAAAGCAACACGGACAACGATATGTTTTACGATATACAACGATTTACGTGTTTATCTCGGGGGATAGGAAAGTCGATAAGAAGGCTCAATCATATGGCGAATGACGGTCTGTTACCAGTCTATGTAGGTATGGAACTGGTTAGTCAGTTATTTGATTTCGGATGCATGGGCTGCGTTGTGGATGAAGCCGCAACCGACCACCGGTTACGTAAATTCGCCACAGGGACGATGAGTCCAGCAATCCTCTCGCACATTCTCACGGGATTCTAGCTTGCGAACTCACACAGGGTAATCATAATTGCGGTGACAAGAATATTCCCTGCGATTGGCACAGTTACACGGTACGCCACATCGAGGAGCCTGCTTATCTGTTTTATTTTATCTATTTTTGGTCGTTGATTTTTTGTTCTAAAACAATTCGCACTTGGTGTTGTTGTTACATATTGCATTTTTTTTACAGTACGAGACGGTCTGAACGACGTGATCAGTGTTTTTGAAGATACTTACGAATTCTACAAAACTCGAATGGCAGTATTCCATTCTTTGAACGACAGCAATGGTTCTTTGAGAAAGAAAGGGAAATCTTTCAAATACGTTGACAGAATACCAAGAATGCAAGGAAAACGTCGAAACTATAGTTATAATGACTTATTACCACGTCATCACGTCATCAATGACGTGATCAGTGACATTATGACAAGTAAAATTGATGAAGATGAAATATCTGATAACTTTCCTAGTTCCGGGAACAACTCGCGATTCTTTCACAGATCTACTGCCTCACTACCAACTGATGTCATAGCCAGTAATCCCGAAAATGGTAGACCGCCCATGAGATCTCGCCGGAATGCAGTAGTCGGGCTCACAAATGGGATACATTTAAACAGTGACACGCAATCTTCAGATTCCGACCAGGACCGTAGACGTCAGAAGCTTATAAAATCATCCCACTTAAGTGACGATTCGCTCAATGATCGCCACAGGTCCTCGGTGACAAGAGCCCGTACTTTAAGAATATATGACTCTAACAACAACAGTGAGATGGGCGCAAACAGACGGTGTAGGTCACAAGAGCACATTGATCTAAACAGGTCGAATAGTATGGTAGAAACTTTTACAAAACGCGCAATTTCTTTTGACATTTCAAATAGACTATCAAAACGTGTTTAGTAACTGAGCAAACCTTTTGAAATTTTTACTTTGCGAATTGTTTCTTGTTTCATATAAAGCCGACAACATTTTACAATATCATCATATTTTTAATTAAAAACCTATTGTACGTTGTCTAAAAGGAACTTCACCTTCAGATGCTACTGGTTTCACAAACATCGTCAGGAAACAACCCCTCCATAGTATCACCTAACGATCATAAATCATTGTTGAACATTTCGCCCTACAAAATTGTTATAATGTAGTGAAACGTTTCCCAAAAATAAAGATCAACTAACTTCCCTCATTATGTTCCTCAACGTGTTCTTTAACAATGTATAATAGGTGTGTGTAGTGACAAATGTCTTTTGGCTTTACTCAAAAATTGCGATTCAAATTTTGGTATAGGGTAAATTTGTTGAAAGTAATATCGACAGTTTCAATTGAACTTCATCTTCCTGGAAACCTTCTATTTTTTATTGGTAGCTACTGTGAAGTAAAATTTTGTAATAAGTGTTTTAAAAAGAATCGTGTTATGTTCTTGGATTTATCACAATAATTTCGGATTCATGTATATACTAATGCAGGCAGTATGCATGTTGATGATTCTTGAACGCAAATAACCGAATTAATTGGAAAAAGTACAAGCAAACACATACATCCATGTTCATTTAAATTTTTCTGTTAATATTTCACATGGCAATCAATTCCTGTTTAAATTAGCCTATTATATCGTACTTTACTTAATTTATTTCATTTTCTAATTGTTATTTCTTATTTGCTTTGTTTTATTTAATTTCTTGTTTAATTAAATTTGAATATAGAAAACCAATAAGTCTAGTTCATTTTTTTTGGATTATTGATTTGGATTTATTGGATTATCCGTACACAAGATAACTTCCAACAAATGTAAAACGTACATTGGTCTACATCTCTTAATGGCAGAATTATTGGGCGAATAAATGTTTTGACTTAGGCATCGTAGTTTGTTAGATTCGAGAGAAGACAAAAATTTTCAGATTATTTGGAAAAATTCATTATTCAGATACGGCACCACAAATTTAAAATATGCTGGTGGTTCCCTTTTTCACAGTAGATTCGACGTTGGCGCTACGAACTTCTTACTTGATAAATTGCATTATTTACTGTTATAATGATAAGCAGCTTTATCTGTGCTCCGGGAGTATTTGTACCAAGATGATGCACAAACTGTAACCTTGTACACATACTATGTTCAGGTTGTGCGCCATCTTGGTACGGATACTCCGGGAGTACCGCTTTATGTACCTGTTATGAGCATTTGTTTGTCAAATTTGGTAGCAACTATGTCACTGCACGGTGGCGCACGTGAGCTAGCTAGAGATCCCGATATCTTAAGAGAAACTACAGTGGAGCAACATGCCTGGCAATTCCTACTCCTTGATTAGATTTTTTTAATATAGAACTTAAACAAAATCTTATCCCGTTGATGGAATTATTCCAAACAGCGTTACAAAATGTTGATAAAGTTTTGTTGGAGTGAAATTATATTTTATTCAGTTCCACATCGCAATATCACCAGCCTACTTGTAGAGATTCGTAACATTTTTATAGCACAACGTTAATTTAAGGAAAGGGTTCCAAGCCTAGCTGACATATAGGCCTACTACTGTTCCTTCAGTCATTGAATCATCCGCCAAGAATTCCATGTACATGACCCAATGCGAAATACTCGCTGATATGACAGAAACGATTACATGGAACGCCGTCAATAAGCAATCAAATACTGTCGCCGCTTGATAACAACTCGCGGATCTTGTTTTGTTTTTGAGCTAATGGAGGGTAATCATGTCACTAGCGTTTCCGCTGGATGAAGTCTTCGAAACGAATTTTTCCGGTCTGTAAAATGCTAATGTTCTATTGACAGGTCAATAATCTATAAACCGTTGGTGAATGTATATTATTATAACTTTTGAACATCAGTAGCCTATTATATATATATAAAATGAATACATAGGTTCGTAACTACGCTAAAATTTCTTGAATATTTTGTGCAAAGAAGAATTGCGTCATTATGATGCACTTGTGGTACAAAAACTTGAATTTCTGACGCAACGTTGTTACTGAAATGTGTATTTGCGTCATTATCTTTTTTCTATACACAAGTGGTTCCTCCTGGGTCGCGGCCTCGGGTGGGTTCACGTGAAGATTTTAGGGGTCGCCTAAACTCTGTTGAACATACGCACACAAGTCACTAGGATTTAAAAGTGAAATTGGTGCTGTTTGGGTATCAATAAATGCAATTGAGTGCCAGTGTTACGATCGCCAATGATACTTGAGTGTTTACAGTTTTTTGATCATGTTACATCCGAATAAGTAGTTTACCTTAGTTAGGATCTTTTCAGACCACCTTGTAGGCTAATCCAATGGACCCAACAGAAAATTTTCGGTTGACGATAAATTATGTTGTTTGGTATTTTGCTACCAGCGTAAACCCCTTTAGTTACAGAATATAGAGTCTAGGAGACCCTTATTACCAGTCGTTCTGTTGGATCTCCGCTCTAGGAGACCCTTATTATCAGTCGTTCTGTTGGATCTCCGATCTAAGAGACCCTTATTATCAGTCGTTCTGTCTGTGTAAATGTTTGTCTGTCTGTCTGTTTTGACGTAGCTTCTAAACGGCTGGATCAATCTGGATGAAATTTTTCAACAATGTTTTACTGTTCTTCTAGTATTGTGCTTTTACTCGAAAGACTGGGCTGATGTTTCGTTTCCATGACAGCAACGAAAAAACACCCGATCGCTGACAAATTTCTAATTTTCTAACATTCCTTTGCCATTTGATGTAAACTAAGTAGAATATTAACATTCTGAGATCTCTACCCCCAGATTAAGAAAGAACTTTCTCTAACAAGACCTCTTTTATCTCGACAGTCCATAAACTGGGGAAGCCTTAGGAATTCTAGTGAAAATGTTTCAACAATTAACCACAGTTCCTCTCGGCTATGAGAACCATCCACACAGCGTTTAAAATGAACTGGCAATTTCAGTAACTGGTCATGGCATCTTGTTTTAGATCTGAAATTTTGAATAGGCTGTAACGATTTCTGGAGTGGAATACGACGCATGCACACTGATATCGATGAGCCGCACAGCGTTCAAAATGAACTGGCAGTTCTGATACACTTTACTCTACTCAGTACAATGGTGTCTCCGTATTACCCTTTATTAAACTGAAATTATGCGGGCCTTAAGCAATGGCAGATATCCATATTGGGCGCCTACCGGCTTGTTTCATTATTTCGTTACCGGTCCGCGAGATCATTTCAATTGATGTTACCTTCCCGTCTGGGTAAAAAGGTTGGGAACCACTTACAGTCGATATACAGGCACATTGTTCTCAATAAGATAATCCAACAGAATATACTGATTTTTGAAAATGCTTCACTTTTTTGATCGTGGTGTCGCGAGTATCTGTAGTCATTGATTTTACGAAAATAGGGGTCACGGAAAATGGTTAGGACCTACTGCCGTAGGCCTACAGTGTATTTACGAGGGAATAACATTCATTCGCATTATTATCTCGGTACTATATACTGCTGTAGATTGTACGGTATATTTACAGGTGAATCCCCTGGTTGAGCAGACGGGTAGGCCTATACTATATTCTGTAAACGAGCGTCACCCGAAAACAAAGGACGTGAAAACTTCTGCAATTCTGAATACGGAAACCGAACTAGGTTTAAATATTATTTATTTTTTGTTATAAATGCTTAATGTATTGACCTTGAACTTGTATCTGAACTCGAGATACGCAATGTCAGAAAAGATCTTGTTCGCAATTTCCCGACGATTTGACGGCTGGAACCGTTATACAAGGAAAGAATTTTGATACTATTCATGATCAGAATGTCGTAGGTAAGTTATAAAATTTTATCACACAATGATTCATATTTTTACACCTATATTTATATATATATATATATATACTATATAAAGTTTCTTTGAGTTTTAGGTGAGCGTCTCGATATACTTTATAGGCTCCTTTAAATATTTTTGTTAATGAAACAGACTGTGCGGCGACTTTTAGGGGCAATCGGTATGGTATATAATACAAGAGAGCTATGCTCAAATATATGGACACGTAGCGCCACCCAACCGCAATAATTTTGATACGCCATAGCAAAAAAAAAGTAATTAGCCTTCTGGCGAAAAATTTTATCCTTAACCACTAAAAATTTCAAAGCAATTGGTCCAGTATTCGAAGAGAAAAGCGATTTTTTAAAAAATGGAGACAAATAATAACAATAACAACACAAGAGAGCATGCTCAAATATATGGACACGCAGAACAATTCCCCCAAAAATCATATTGCGGTGACCAACGACTAACATACCGGCGGTGACTTACCAGTACCTGTATCGGGGGTACCGTGACGGTACAGGGACTGTCATAGATATTTTAGTTCCTGTGACAATTGAAACATCAGTTGAAATATCTCGTGATATGAGTCAATTATGTACCGTATTATCGGAATCAGGTACCGAACCACAGTCAAACATTTCAGATAAAAACGTTACTAAATACATGCGTCAACTTAACACCAGCCGAATCGGGGTACAATTTTTGGTACAGTGACTGTCATAGCCGTTTAGGCCTGATGGCCAATTCGACTACACGGACAACTCACCAGGCCTAGGGTGGTGTAGCCAGTCTGCGGACAATTTCATTCAAACCGCCTATAAAACAAAAACCAATATATCTAACCGTTAATTTTTTCACCGTGGGTGCATTGGCGGCATTTATTCTACACGCTAACCTCGTATTAACATTTCTACGACAAAGGGTTGAAGCTATACAAATCCCCAAAGTACGGCACTCGAAAGACGTATTTGCGACGAACGACCAGTGTGCGACCACGGATTTCAAGCCTTTGATCATCGTTATGCTGCGTCGAGACTATCGCATACGCAGCATACAGCAATCAAACAGACAAAACACGGTGGTCGCAAATTGGTTGCAATTGTTGGTCTTGTGACAGCATGAAAACATTGGGCTTCTAATTGCATTTCTGACCGTCATATATTTCAAGAACACGGTTATTTCGAACAAAACTCGTAAAATTATAAACAAAGCACCACAAACACAGCAATCAAACAGACGAAAACACGGTGGCCGTAAATTGGTTGACAAAGATATTATCGACGTATCGGAAATGCACACCTCCTATTCCCCTCCTTCAAATGTAGAAACGCGAAACTTTCAAATATGGTTAAAAGAAACACAACTCTACCCACCTGCCAAGTTTCATCTTTTTGGACACGTAGTGGACATAACGATCGTTTCAATATTATGTTGTTGTTGTTCTTGTTGGACACGTAGTGGACATAACGATCGTTTCAATATTATGTTGTTGTTGTTCTTGTTCTTGTTCTTGTTGTTCTTGTTTCTTTGACACGTTTTTAAAAAGTCGCTTTTTCTCTTCGAATACTGGACCAATTGCTTTGAAATTTTCAGTGGTTTGAAAGATTAATTTTTTCGCTAGAAGGCTATTAACTTTGTTTATTCTTAAATTTTATATGAATCCTATGAGATATGATATTTCATACAAAATTTCGCCGGTATTTTATTTTTACTCATGGGAACACTGTTTTTCACTTATTTCAAGCGGTTTCGCGATCGATTGTCTTGCTCAGTACTACAGCTACTGTAGGTCGGTACTGGTAAGTTGCCATACCGGTGCCGTAACGCAGTGAAATTGACTTATTCCTTCCGCGGTATTAACTAAATGCTGCAATGCAAGTTTTATAGCCTATCGTATGCGGAACGGAATATCAGACCTACAGGTTCGGTACCGGTACTGGTAGCTCAGTACGTAAGTACGATACTGGTACTGGTGCGGTACCGGTGTCTTACCACAATGAAATTACCGTAACTTCTGAACTTATTCTTTCACGGTCCTACCAGTGCAGTAATGCAAGCCGTTGTAGCACTTGTAGCCTAGTATATTTGTTTATTTTGATAGAGAGTCTACTGGAAACAACATAAAATTTGAAAGGGAAGAATTGTTCTGTGATCAATTATCTGTCTAAAGTGTAAACAACATAAAATTTGCAAGGGAACAACTGTTCTGTGATCAATTACCGTATATGGCCTACAGTGTACAGGTAAGATGCTGCCTGACTGCTACTCAGTACCGCTTGACACGTTTTTAAAAAGTCGCTTTTCTCTTCGAATACTGGACCAATTGCTTTGAAATTTTTAGTGGTTAAAGATAAAAATTTTCTCCAGAAGGCTATTACTTCTTTTTTTCGCTATGACGTCATCAAAAATTATGTGACTCTACGTGTCCATATATTTGAGCATAGCTCTCTTGTTCTTGTTATCCTTGTTGTGTTCTTGACACGTTTTTAAAAAAGTCGCTTTTCTCTCGAATACTGGACCATTGCTTTGAAATTTTCAGTGGTTGAAGATAAAATTTTTCTCCAGAAGGCTATTACTTTTTTTTTCGCTATGACGTCATCAAAATTATTGCCATTGGGTGGCGCTACGTGTCCATATATTTGAGCATAGCTCTCTTGTTATTTCTCATATTTGTATGGATTTTCAAGCTTTTGACAGTACGAGTTAGTTCAGTGTCACCGCGCTGTGTTACGGTACCAGAACTCCTGTCTTGTGACAGCGTGAATTGAAATTGCAAGATGGTCCGTTGGACACAAAATGGCGTAGTATCCGTTTAGTGACGTCATAGCAAACAAACAAATCTTACAGAGCTAACAGAAATATTTGAAATAAATAAAAGTAATAGCCTTCTGGAGAAAAATTTCATCTTCAACCACTGGAAATTTCAAAGCAATTAGTCCAGTAATCAAAGAGAAAAGCGACTTTTTAAAAACGTGTCAAAGAACAAGAACAAAAAACAACATAATATTGAAACGATCGTTATGTCCACTACGTGTCCAACAAGAGAGCTATGCTCAAATATATGGACACGTAGCGCCACCCAATGGCAATAATTTTGATGACGTCATAGCGAGAAAAAAAAGTAATAGCCTTCTGGATGAAAATTTTATCTTTAACCACTGAAAATTTCAAAGCAATTGGTCCAGTATTCGAAGAGAAAAGCGATTTTTTAAAAATGGAGACAAATAATCATATCAATAACAACACAAGAGAGCTATGCTCAAATATATGGACACGTAGAGTCACATAATTTTGATGACGTCATAGCGAAAAAAGAAGTAATAGCCTTCTTGAGAAAGTTTTTATCTTTAACCACTAAAAATTTCAAAGCAATTGGTCCAGTATTCGAAGAGAAAAGCGACTTTTTAAAAACGTGTCAAGTGGTACTGAGTTAGCAGTCAGGCAGCATCTTACCTGTACACTGTAGGCCATATACGGTAATTGATCACAGAACAGTTGTTCCCTTGCAAATTTTTATGTTGTTTACACTTTGGGACAGATAATTGATCACAGAACAATTCTTCCCTTTCAAATTTTATGTGTTTCCAGTAGACTCTCATCAAAATAAACAAATATAATAGGCTACAAGTGCTACAACGCTTGCATTACTGCACTGGTAGGACCGTGAAAGAATAAGTTACGGTAATTTCATTGTGGTAAGACACCGGTACCGGTACCGGCACCAGTACCAGTATCGTTACCGGTACTTACGTACTGAGCTACCAGTACCGGTACCGAACCTGTAGGTCTGATATTCCGTTCCGCATACTAGGCTATAAAACTTGCATTGCAGCATTAGTAATACCGCGGAAGGAATAAGTCAATTTCACTGCGTTACGGCACCGGTATGGCAACTTACCAGTACCGACCTACAGTAGCTGTAGTACTGAGCAAGACAATCGATCGCGAAACCGCTTGAAATAAGTGTAAAACAGTGTTCCCATGAGTAAAAATAAATACCGCGAAATTTGTATGAAATATCATATCTCATAGGATTCATATAAAAATTAAGAATAAACAAAAGTAATAGCCTTCTAGCGAAAAAATTAATCTTCAACCACTGAAAATTTCAAAGCAATTGGTCCAGTATTCGAAGAGAAAAGCGACTTTTTAAAAATGTCAAAGAACAAGAACAAAAACAAACAACAACAACATAATATTGAAACGATCGTTATGTCCACTACGTGTCCAATAATATTGAAACGATCGTTATGTCCACTAAACGTGTCCAATAAAGCATCATCTAAAACAATAGTAAAACATCATTGCCAGGGCCGGATTTACCAGGGGCTCGAAATTCGGTTTCGAAGTTTGTAATTCTTTTAAAACTTGACAAGTTTAAAACCCTACCTATCTATATAGTATATATATATCAAGCTTTTTAGAGTAGAAAATTCTATACACAACTGGTTTCAACCACGTATCAAGTATTCAAGTACCGTAGTCTACTCTGCAAAAAACAGTATCGGTAGTTGATATGTTGCTGAAATAACTAATATACTATTAGACGTCTTGGTATTGCTAACCTGCGTTTAGATCAGGTAATAATATCACTTCATAATTTTTCAAACCTTAAATTTATTATGAGTGAAAGATTTGAAAGTGGAGCTAGCAAGCGCAAGAGAAATAAATTGGAAATTAGAGCAAAACTGCCTTAAGTTACTTTTTATTCTTTTAATTAAAAATTTGCACTCATGAATGGGGAGAATGAAAAGAAAGAAAAGTTTAATGCACTGATATTTTTACCAATAACCAATGACATGTGAATCCAGCCCTAATCATCGCCGATCATTTTCTAGAAAATGAACAAATAAAATCTGCATCTTCTTGTATATATATCTCTCCTTTATATTTCATACATAACAAATGTTGTAATACTATTTAGGCCTATACAAATTTTATCACAGCTGACAGTTACCATTTTGTTTATTTTCATATCTAGTTATCAACAGCAGTGGTGAAGGTTCAGTAGTAGGTATATAGCAGAAAATGCAGAGACGAACCGTGTAATCAAAGGTGGATCCACCACTTTGATTTTTGATTCTAATGGTACGTACGTTCATGCTTCATAAATTATTTTTATCAATTGTCTTCTATGAAAGTTCATGTGTTTGTTATACATTTACCGGTATATATATTATTGATCACATATACATTTCATAGGATAGCTGCAATGGAATAAAGTTGCATATCATTTTTCAGGAGAACAAGAGAATATCATTGCTGGCTTTCACCACCATAAGTAGCTTCTAAGAAAACAATAGCTGCCGTCATTGATCATTTTTTTTTGTTCATTTTACTTACGGGTAATCGTTGCAGGTTTAAAAAATTGAGTATCCTTTTTTTTTACATACTGGTTTTGAATTTATGTGTTCGGCCTGGGGACAGGCACGTAGATTTTCTTAGATTCAGACACTTTGTTCTACCTTGGCAATTAGGTAACTTGGGAAAATTATAACTTTTCTGAAACATGTTGCGTGAAATCAAGCATGACAGCCCATGGCCATGCCTCTCTTGCAAAATAAACTTGCTTTTCATGTTGCGTTTTGTGTAAAACTTGAAGAGATAGTATAGTAGCCATAGTCAAGTATCTGTAGTCTTTGATTTTACGAAAAATTTTGGAACCACTGCTGTACTGTATATTTACAGAGGGAAATAACAAACATTCGCACCATTATTTCGGTTTCATATGATGTACAGTATATTTACATGGTGATTACTGATTGTCTTGGGTAAGTAGTTGGGTAGGCCAATATGATATTCTACAAACGGCGTCATCCGAAAACAAAGGAATCGAAAACTTTCGTGATGTGTAAATAAGTTAGGTAAATATTAATGTAACTTGTTGGAATTTTTTTTCCATTTCTGAATTATGCTCGACTAAGCTTGAATACATATGTTTAACGGAACTTACCTGCTTCGTCAAAAAGCTCCAGCAAAATAACTGATTTTTGCATCATATACTTATATATATATTGTATTACTAATGGCGCATAACGAACCGTTATGCGCCGTTAAAATCGTTTTTGTTAAATATGGATGATTCCCTGTAACCAGAGCTATTAAAATGGCTCCGGTGTAACTGTGGATCTTGTAACTTGTGTGATGAAGTCTAAGCAATATTTGCTATTGAAATATTCAGAATATTTTATATTATTGAACATAATTTTTGTAGATTTTCAAAAACGTTGAAAAATTTGTTTTCGAACTGAAGAAACAAAATTAGATGGCTTAAATTTACAGACCCACGAATAGTAATCAATATATTTGCATTCAAAAGTAACCCAGTTCTGACGCATACTCACTTTGCCTGACGTAAACCCTAATCAAAACAAACAGGATGGCCGTATGGTTCCTCTTTGTCGAGACGAAACCAACATTTGATACAAAGGTATACTAAAATAGAAATACGGAACTGTTTGCGTGGCATAAAAGGCTGTGAGCACCTCGGATTATTTATCGTTGATAAAGTTGGGTTGCTGTTTGAAGTCGCTTGGAGAGAAGAAAATCACTGAAAGTGATTTTTGATGGATCAAACCTTGGTGTTAACTACGGTGATTTAGTACTTAAGACTGATATAGAAGCAGTAAGAAATGCTATCACGTCTGTTGTGTCGTAAATCTAGACATGTGCTTAAAATTAGGTGTTGGCGCGGTTGCCGCTACATCTTTATATGTTGCTGCGAAATGCCTTAAAGGGTATTTGCCATGGGTTAACATCCAAGACGTCAATGAAAATAATGTTCTCAAAGTTGCCGTTCCAAAAAACATGAAGAAAAGTTTAACAAATTGCTTGCTGAGGGAAAAATAACTCAGAAGGTGAAAATGGATTTTGAAGATCTGGATACCACATTAATGAGGTTTCTTGGAGATCACCATGTAAAACAAAAAGAAATACTTGATCTCATCGAAAAAGTCAGAATTAAATCCGTTGAAACGTAAGTAAAATAATTTAGTTTCAGTGAAATCTTCTAGCACATTAAAAAAAGGGCGCAACTTTATAACGCTATTTTCCGTTGTAAACGGGAAGTAAACTTGGGAATTATTATGCGGAATCGTTGTCGTTGGTGGCTAACGTTAATTGTGTCGTAAACACAAAATAGTTGTACTTTTTCACCAAACAACAAGAGGGCAATCACTAGTATAGGTTTTCAGATTTTTTTGTGCTCTAACGGCTATTAATTTTCATTGGTAATGATAAAAGTTGCGACGAGCTGACAACATAAAGCGCCGGGACCTTCACGTCTCCAAGGGAATTGAAACATGATTTTTAAAAATAGCTTAAAATAAATTTTACAGACCATGTGTGTCAGAAATTTCAGCAAACACTACGGCTGGTGTGGTTATGGCAGGATATAACAGTGATGAAATACATAACCGAAACGTTAAAGGTGAGACAAAATTATAAACAACATATATATAATTCTTTTGTTGTAGTAGGCTACCAGCATGTTTATATTCTTTTTACAAACGTGTGTTTTTTTATTTTCTGGTTTGCCTCATGGTCACTACACTTATTACAATTTATCAATTTTTAGTTATTGGATTTGGGAAAGGACTGGTAGCTGGAGAACTCATGACAAACAATGCACGCGTGGAAGTAAGATATATGGCGGAGCCATTATGGTTGAGAGAAGAAATATAGGTAATTTATAAGCGATAATCAACAGCGAAGAGATCGTTCAAAGTCAAACTAGTTTGATGAAGCAATTATTTGATAATGCAATAAATAGTTTTTCAGTGATATTAAATATCTTAATTCTATTTAACGAAAGATAACTCACTTATTGAGAATTTAAAGGGGTATTCATTTCATATACATAAAGTGATACAATATAATAAAATATATGCACTAAAACAGAATGCCCGAATTCCACAATTGACCGGCTTGTCTGACGCTCATAGTCTATAGAAATTTAGCTAAACATGAAAGTTCAATTTGAACATTTTACAAAGGATTTATGAAAATATGCGAGTAAATTGAAATTTTTTTTTATATTTCATTAGAATAAATAAAATTGATGAAAACAATGTTTTTACATAATGTTTGCACAGGTGATGTATCAAAATTTAAATATTCTATACATTTTATAGATAACTCTGTTCCATTGCAGAACGACAATGAAGCAAACGAGGATCAGTCTCTGATTTGATTTTTTCAGATCTGGTCCCTAATGGTTTCTAACTGTCAATTTTGTATGATTAAACGGAATTAGTATCATGTATCATTTCTTGCAAATTTTTGTTGTATATGTGTAAGTTTTGCGTTGAATAGCTTGATCTTGAGGTATGTTGAGATGTAATTTGCATTTAATGGCATAAAATAACATAGCAGTTAAAGCTCATGGCTCTCCGCTTTAATTTAGTTAGTCTCTTGAAGACTTCCGGGTGAATTTTACATTCATTCATCCGTAACATTACTGACGATAATTCAAGTCAAGTTTTCGGGGACGATTATAAGATATGTACACCTGATGAGTACTAGTAATACAATAGTAGGCTCATCTGAGATCATTGACTGATCACACTAAAAACGATGATGGCGTATGAATTAAATCAGACAAGGTATTTATTATGAGGGAATACCCGAAGTCGTTTGTATATTCAATACAATAAAGGCTTATTATAAAGTTCAAATTATGTGTAATAATGAATACAACTGAAGCCGCTTGACACAAAGTGAGTGTAGCACGCTAAGGTGACTTGATCTGTTAAATCTGGAGTTCAATTATTGGATTTACATTGTTCACAATATTTATGAACGACTTTCGGTTCTTAAATTGCAATTTGTCAAATAACTAAATACACAAATGACGCAACTCTTTATTCATTTATAAAAACACTCAATAAATGCCGTTCATTAAAAAATAAATTGTGCTAAGATTAATTTTTCAATTGAATATTATTCGTTGCTTCACTAATCTGCATTGGAGAAAGACAGCAAAGCTAAAATATATGGACACGAAATACAAAACAAATTACTTTTCGTACCGTACATACCTCCATCGCGTAGCGTCGAATCGGAAACAGCCGATAAGTATAAATGAATATAAGTTTATTTTGACTCCATAACCAGTATAAGAGACGATAGAATAATTAATAAAAACAAAATAAACAAAACCGATTACAGAATCAGGAGAGCAAACAACACTTTAGGTAAGGTTTAAAACGTACAGATTTTAGATAGGAAGATGTTGTCAGAAAAAGTGGTACTTGTTCGCCCACCCAAAATTATTAGGTTGATTTAAAACACATGTACGCGCATATATACAATCAAGCAGACAAAATAAAAATAGAGAAAGAAAAAAAGATAAGATATATTACTTGGTAAAAATAATATACAAACAAAAAATAAAAATAAAGTAAAAAAAAAATTAGCTACGCCATATTGATGATTTTGTAAGAATTGATAAATTGTATTAGTATATATAGGACTGAAATATGTAGGAAAATATTTCTAAAAAGGAGCTGATTACAGTAGGAGTCTTCCAATGCCAAATTGACCAATCGGAATCAAAATAAATCCAAAGTAGCGTCCAGAATATATCAAATGGATGTAATAGATCAGGGTGGTCCAAACCCAGGCCCGCGGGCCACATGTGACCCGCCGCTTCAATATCTGTGGCCCGCGTCGCATTTGTGCGGGGGTAAACAAAAAATCGCATATGGTGTTTTTTCGTCATAAAAATAACAAGAAAAATCTTTCGACTCATTGTTTCATCACTAATGCCACTGAATTGACTGGTGTTATGACTAGCGGAGGCAACTAGTGAAGTTGAATAATGTGGCTTGTCTAGTCTGAATTGTTATTTGGCTTTTTGTTCGTGAATATATGCTAACTAAATAAGCTCCATTGAAAACTAAAAATCTAATGAGGAATCTATTAGCCTAGGTTGGCTATGCATGATAACTAAATATTAATGTAATGACCGAACAATATAATTTCTGCCTGGAGATTTTTTGCAACCAGCCTGAACAATATTACAATAAATACTGCCTATACATATGTCAGTAAAAAATTTGGTAATTCCCCTCATGTATCTCAAATTTGGTAAAATTCGGTAATCAATCAATCTGCAGTTATTTGTAAACATGAGTTTGAAAAGAAAGCTGACAAATTCAAACAGATTTTCGACTGGATATGGGAGTGAAAAATATCACAATGCTTGCTTAATATGTCTGCAAGTTGTGTTGGTGACAATCTAAAACGGCATTTTCTCAATATGACACTTTCTCCGTTATAAAGAGTTTGAAGAATTACACTGAATATAGATATAGTAGGATTTTTGCATGTTTCAGTGAGTTTTTTAGTGGTTTTTGCGTTTTTTATCTTGATAAATAATGATAAATGTGTTTGAACAATAAAAGTGTTTGTTTTGTGTTGCATTGTTCACCCATTCTTGTGGCCCGCGAGGCCGACAACCTTGGACCACACTGTAATAGATAGATGTAATGTTAGGAATAAACCAAAATTCAGCCTTCAGCAACAACAACAATGTTCAATCGTTAAAAATCGCAAAAAAATTGGTCCAGTAGTTAAAAAGGAAAGCTATTTTTCATGCGGTAACAACAACAACAAGAAAACAGCAACAACAACAACAAACTAACAAAATGATCCATAACACCATTTTTGTCCAATTAGTAAGTGCAAAACAAAGAAGACTTACGCTTTTGGCTAATTAAGGCTGACCTTTACCGTTCCGCTTCTGTACTCAATGGATGTTTCCCACAAAGCTATATATATCTCCAGTTCGGTGTGGACCTGTGGGCCGCACGTGGTTTAAGGTTTTCCAAAAAAAATGATAGTTATGAATATGTAATCCAGTTTGCAAGCAACTTTCTGAAACACTATCAAAATGAGCATTTGAAATTCCTCAGGGAAATTTTTGAGGGGTTTTAGGGGCGTGGCAAACGACCACATGCGCACGCAGTGTTAATTAGGGGCATTCACAACTTTTTGACCGCGGATTTAGACAGATATAAAACAGAGCAGCAAAAACACACCAACCAACCTTAGCAGCCTTTAGTTTTCACCACCTTGGTAGTTTAAGGCGATGGTTCTCAACCTTTTTTGATTCGCGGACCGGTAAAATTTCAAACAAATTTTTCAGATTGGCGAACCTTTGAAATTAACCAAAAATATCATGATTCATGAACACAAAACGTTATTAAAAGAATGCAATTACGACAAAAGGAGTCGGTGCAAAAGAAGACAGTCCAGTTAAATGTAAAATTTGCGGCTGTCTTTTTGATATTATACGTGCTAAACGCGGTTCTAATGAAGTTTCTGCAAGGCGAAGTGGAGTGTTGACTTCCATTTTGCTATCAAACCTCGCTAAATTATAAGCATACTGTCAAATTACGGAACGTGCGAACTGCGAAGTTCTCAATCAGGCACCGTACTACAGCGCTTTTCAAACTTTTTTGTCGCGGCCCACTCTCACGGAAAGTTTTACTTTGCAGACCAACCTTATTAAGATTTTTGTTTCAGAGGCTAAAATAAGTCGAGGCAGGGTTGTCCAAAACGAATCGAATATTCGAATACTTTTTCGGCAATTTTTTGAATGATAGCCATATTTCGCCGTCGGCTGGGTGTTTCGTTTTCGAGTGAAATCTTCAAACTATTTCTGCATTTTTTCATGTATATTAATGACAATGAAAGAAAACCGGTACATTGAATGCTTGTTCTTTTCTGTTCGAGCGAGCGCCGCATATTGTTGCGACAATTTTGCACGGTTGCGCTATGGGCATTGCTTTGCAAGGCTTCTCATTTACGCATTCATTTCCATTACGTCGAAATTATGTAAAGCTGTAATTTTGATGATTCAATATAATAATTTATACCTTTTCACGCTTTTTGGCAAATTTTACAGCAGACGTATCCTATAGTCACGCTCGAGCGTCTGAATTGATGATATCGACTGGGATTCTCACGAGGAAACCATTGCTATACTTTTTCGCGGACCACTGGTTGAGAAACGCTGCCGTACTATGTGCTATCACACTACTCCGTTATGAGATCATAGACTTAACAAACATCCAGCATTTCAGGGCTTTAAATGGGCGGGGGGACCATCTCGCCATGTTTGGTTGTTGGACGAATAGCGGTACTACAAATAAAAAAGAATTAAAAAATCACAAAATTGAAGGACATGCCGCCAATACTTTGTATTTTGCAATTTGCATATAATATGTTAATACTGGAATATATTTAGCGGACCGGCAGCAAGGTTGCTGCGAACCGGCACCGGTCCGCGGACCGGCAGTTGAGAACCACTGGATTAAAGAATCACTGGGCATTGGCGTAATCTATGTGAGTGAAGCAATGTCCTTTACCTTTGCTTGGGTATACTTAGATCTAGGATAGCAAAAGTCTATATTTGATAACAAACTGCCGATTATAATTGGGATGGAGAGGTTCCCAGAAATCAGATGCAGATCTCCCGCTGATGGTGTTCTTTAGTTGCCGTTTTTCAATCAAATGAAACTTCTGTCCGTATTATTAAATGGACCTTATTACTTATCACTTATTAAATGGACCTTTCCCCCACCTTTGACCCCCGGAAAATTCTTCTCATACTTTATCATTGGAAAATTTTCGGGACTATTTTAAGAGTGCCTTTGCGAGTTGGCGCTTGTAAAATGGGGTATGTGTTTTAAACCATCATTAGGATCCATCGCATACAACAACCTGTTTTTTAAAAGTACCGGTGAAGAATTTTTATGGATAAATTCGTTATTTCAGGTAAAATACATTAAAAAGACTGGAAATTGCTAATTTCGAATTTCTCCAAATTCATGAATTGGATCGATATAGGGCCCGTTGTAATTAGACAACCCGAACAAAGAATTGCAAGCCTTCTGATGTGGATTCGAAATCGCTAAAGGTGAACCAACAAAACAACAACAGCACATATATATCGAAGAAGTAAAATACCGACAACAACACAAACGATGGCACTGCTGAGACGAATATTGAAGCATTACAGAACACAATGGTACGGAATCGGAAAAGAATCAGACGACGGATAAAGACCAAGTCCACACAATGAACTTCTGTTTGAATTCAAAAATACAAGGTAGAAAATCGTATCAGGCTAAATTAAAACTGATGGATAGGCTTGCACGTAATTGACAAAAATCAATTCCGTAA